AGCACGTTGCTTTCTTTTCTGACAGATGGTCAGGTAGTTTAGATTTGAAATAGAAGATCTAGAGCACTTTCTCTTGAAGGTACAGTTTGCAGACTGTTAATAAGATGTTGGTATGGGGAAAGGTGTCTTGAGTTGTGCAGCACCTGAATGGCAACGGGGCAGGATTTTTCCTTCTACAACCAAGATGCTGCTCATTTCAAATGTCTGTAAGATGGGTGTGTTTTCCTTTTTCCTGTGAACTGTCCTATCCGGAATGGAAAAGGATAGTATTTTATTCTAGAGAATGTCATAATGCTTATAACATTTTTTAAAGAATTTATTTCACCAGGTTATGGATACCTTTTTAACATATTAGAATCTGAAATTAGTTTAATCAAGAACAATGTAAGAAAAGGAATAGGATTTTTCAGCATGGAAGGGAGAATGCTAAGGGGAAATCATGGAGAAGCTGAAGAGGGTACAATTAATTGTTTATTGCCTCTTCTACTATTAAGCACGTAGCATGGAGCTCCTAGTGGCATTTCCAATGTAAGTACTCTCTCCTCCCACCCCTCAACTGGGTTATTCATGCAATTTATAGTTAAGTTGTGAAGCTCTGACTACTTCCCTCTTCTTTTTTTCCTTACTGATGTGGCTTGCAGGACTGGTTAAAATACCCTTGTTTCTCAATTGTGTAAAAATAAATCTTTCACTGAGCAATACAAGAGGTAGCAACTGAGCCTTTCACTTAAAAAAAAAAAAAAGAAAAAACACACCAAAAAAAATGTAGTTAACTGTAGGCAAAACAACTGAGGAAAGAAAGAAAAAGAAAATTCTTAGCTGAAAACCAGCTAAGAAAATATATTACCAAAATAACTTGTTGCTTGTGCTCTCTGTTGGAATTGACATCTGGCTTCATTCCTTTTCAGAACTATACATGCACATATATATCAATTAACATGTATAGAGTCATGTTTCTTTCTTTAAGATGCCCTCCTCTTCACCCCACTCTAATCGGGGAAATAGTGCCTCTCATTTCTCAAGCTCTTCATTTTTATATTGGAGAAGGTTAAAAGGTCTAAGAAAGTCTTGGCATCATGGTGTTCGCTTAGTCTCTGAATACAGCATTAAAATCCTGATATAGTATAAGGATCTCCATAGTCACGTTTTTTCCTGTTCTGAATTGCTTATGCAGGGCTTTGGAAAGACTGGAATTGGTGGCTATCACAATTTTTCAGCTGTGCTTGTAAAGAAGCCTAAATTGTCACTGTAAAAATAATGTGACCAACTCTGTGCCAAGGACATAGACAAAGGAAGTTTTAGGACAATTGGGAAAATCCTGGTTGCAATTAAGTCAGGAGAATATAATGGCAGCTTTACATGGTAAGAAGGCATATAAAGGCAAGAAAGCATCTATAAGTACATTTTGCATTATGCTAACAGCTGTATTGGGACAGAGATATATGTAAAGAAAGATGGTCTAGGTGGTTAGGAGAAATTTAGGAAGGGATAGGTTATAAAAGTACACAGAAGTTTTTTTTTATAAAAAAATACATATACTAGCAAATAGCGCATATCAAATGTGTTGGCTTATTTTGCAATTGGAAGATAGTTTATAATTTACTCCTCCTTAGGTTCAAGGGAACTTTTTTTCCTCTGTGAATTACAAGCCAGGTTGTTGGCTTTATACAAATTCATCATCTATTTTTGGATAATGGCAACAAGGGAATAAATCATTATACTAAAAAATGTAGCAAATGCAGAAGACCCTCATGTTCCAGACTAACTGAAAAATTTAAAATAATGAATGAAAGGCAAGTATTATATTTAATACACTGATAGAATTTTGAATTCTAACATAGAACTGAACTTAGCTTAACATGGTCATATTTTGGTTAATTGTAATTCAGCAACCCTGAGAAATTTAATCTCAGTTGTGTGCGTAAATTTTCAAAAATGCAATCTTTTGTTTTGTCTACATGGTTTGAATGGAAATTGACTATAGAAAATGGTTGCTACTTTTAAGAAGAGCAATTACTTTTTGGGACTCTTCCATTGAAGGAAATTAATTCAGTGCAATTTGCTTTTTGATCAGTATTGTATGATACAAGACTGCAAGGAGCATTATGCTATTTAATGTCATGGTATCTTTATTTCCCCCAGCAATTATCTCTTTTTCACAGCCTCTGTTTATTCTGTACTAGAGAGTTATAGCAGTGTATTTTTGTGTATGGAACCCAAGTCAACTGCTGTAGACTTTTGTTTAATAACAATGCCGTAATCTGAAAGTTTTAATAGTTTCTTCTTGGGATCTGTGCACTTGGTGGGGACAGGCCATGGTGATTTCAGGAGGGGGATGATTTCAAGACACATTAAATACTCCTGAGCAGGTTATTCCTTGTAAAAAAAAAAATTATGGCATTTTTGTCTTTGTTATGTTTTGCATGTTTCATTAATTCCCTGTGGGTCTTTTTGAAAGGTTTCAGCAGTGCAGATGATCTTCTATAAAATTCGTTGACTAGGTTCTCAAAATGTACAAGTGGGCAAACCTATGTTTATGAGCATGAATCCATTTGCACAGGAAATTGCACAAGCATGAATTCATAGCTCTGTTTTTGCTAGTGCGTATTATTTTCATCAAATACAACAGCTAACAGTAGATAGCAGTAGAGCAATGGGATACGATTCAGATCAGACTGGATTAATTCATGGAATATAGTGGAGAATCTTCCTGAATTCCTGGCAAACTGCCCCAGTTCTGGACACTTTATGGGCAATATTTCTCTACCACCATCCACATGACAGGTTTACCTGTCTCACAATTCTGGGAAAAGGGATGTGAATCAGTAGGACCTATAGGTCTCCAAGTCTTGGCATTTTCGGATCATGGGCAGTATTTTATGATGTGCAATCTCTAAAAACGTTACCCCTTGAGCTGGAGCAATTTTACTGTAGGATTTCTGTCATCTGAAGCTTGGGGGAGGACAGCTTGGTTAGAGCATTCAAATTCTTCATCATGAAGGCAAGACCTTGACAATTGCGGGAAGATCCTCTATAACTAGAACTTGGCTCATGGCTATAAAAGAGGAGGCCTGGAAGATGTATTTCTGCTCTTTTCCAATTTAGCTGAGCGCTAGTGAATACAAGAGGCACGTTTCATGTTTTTAACTTCTTGTTTTAGTGCTTCTGAAATTATCAGGATTCCCATTTTCCAAAAGCTTTTTTCCATTTTAATTAGATTAAGTCTGAAAATCAGATTTTTTTTCTTTTTTTTCTAACCAGATCTGAAAATAAGTTCACACTGGTTTCAGTTTGTCTGTATAGTAAAAATCTGGTTTAATTCTATTTTTGGCTACTAATTTCTAATTCAGTAGGAATCCTATATATATATGAAGTAAAGATATTCTTTCTTCTAATATGCACGCCTTTATTCAACCATTGGAAAAGATTAGAAAAAATTTCTGGGAATGAAACTTTTTTCTATTGTGCTACTTTTCCTTTACATAAATGGAATTTTGGCTAATACTTGGTTCCAGTGGGAAAAAATAGTTTTCTTTGATATGCCATTTTTTCCTTCAGAACAAATAGCAGCTATTGTTTAAAAAATTAACGGTGTGAAAGAAAAACAAAGGAAAACTTTAAACAGTCCCTGTAGGCAAATGACATGAAAGACTTCTGCAAATAGCACACATATCTACTAGTGATGAATCAAAACCTTATTGGCCTGAATCGTCTTTTGATTTGTTAACTACCGTTGGGCTTCAGTGTACAGCTTTCAACTGTATTTGAAAAATCTTTACCTTGTACTAGTTTTGTGTGTGAGTTAATCATCATCCTTTGTTCATCTTTTTACCCCACAGTGACTTAGTGATGTTTAGATTACTTCGGCTTGAAGATGAGGAATGAAAAATTAAAGGCGCAAAAATAAATGTATAGATATACTTGGTCAGATTGCACCTGTTACTGGGATGAAGACCATTTTTATCTTTATACAGCTGGACTCTAACAAAATATGACAAAGTGTGTTCAATTATGTGGCACCCTGCAGAGTCCATCTAAGGCTACCAAAAATTTATTTCTTTGCCAAAGATACTGGGAAGATTAAAATTGCTGTTAGGATGGACTTTTTATTTTTTTTTAATTGGGAACAGCATAGGCTTATTTTAGATACTCTAATCAGATAGCGCTGGTTTGATCTCACTGCAAGAATTTCCAGTTGGTATTACGTTACAGCTGGCACACCTGTCAGGTACACACGCAGAAATAAGTCAGGAACAGCATCAAGATGAGTTGGACAGCAACTTTTGCACTGACAAGGTTTTGCATACCCCCCTCACCCCCATTTTTCTTCTTTTGCTTGAAAAGAAAAAAAGCAAAAAGCCACAGTTTTTGTCCATAAACTACATTCCAATTCTGAAGTTCAGTTTGCTAGATTGTTACAGGCTAGTTGTACCAAAAACCAAAATAAGCCTAAGAATGCATTGCCTGCTGAGGATTTTTCTTGGTCTCCCAAACTAGGTATCTTTTTAAATTAAAGCTCTACAGTTTCAATCTGAGGTGTGCCTTTTTTTTGTGAATTTTTGCATTTTTTCTCTGCAAAACATCAGCAATCTAAAAATGTTTTTAGTAGTGATAAAATGCCAATTTCAATAACAACCTACCTTACTCCAGAAGATTAGGTATATGAACAAATTCTACTTTAGGTTTTTTATTTGGTCTCTTCTGTGATGTAGATCCTGTAGCAATATACAACGTTGTTGAATCCATTTCTGCAGTTCAGAATGCAGAAAAGCAGCTATCATTTATGTTTATTCATTAGATTTTGGTGGATCCAGACTCTGGAAATCACTCAACAGGAGACAGTATTTGATTTGGCAGCTTGGTGGTTGACCTCTTTCTGTTGCTTATTAATTATTTAGCCTTTTAATTTATCTTGTGTAATAAGGGCTCAACAGTGTACTCTAGAACTTGAAGTCCTGTTGTAGCATTTACTATTTCATAATTTATCTTTCTTTTCACAGGGATCACACTCTACAGCCAACCATATGGAGGAGCCTTGCTGGATGAGGACAAAATGTGAGCAAACTCTTAAAATATGTAACAGTTGCAATGAGCAGACAATTGAAACCATTAATTCAATAAGTGCATATGTTGCGTGCAATAGATGTTGTGACTTGATAGATGCAATTCAGTTCCACTGAGTGAAGCATTTTCTCTAGTGTGGTGTTTATATGTCAAGTCTACTGTTTATATCACATATGGTTGCATTATTTTGTAAAGAAAAATACTGAATTTACACTGACTGCGCGTTACAGAGTGTTCAAGTTTCTAAAGGTTAGTCTTCTGTAGAGGGGGAAATATTTGTAAAAGCTTCACTTTACTGTTCAGACTAAACATGCTGTGTTCTATAACTCACGTATAGTTTTGTAACAACACATCATCTTGCTCTTGTTCAATAATTAGATGTTGACAGTGTACAAACATGGTGTTTACAAACAGGATTGAGTCCTAATGTCTAGTGTTGTTTTGGTAAGAAGTTGGCCTTGAAAACGTTTGGGTTTGGTGAGGGTTTTTCCCCCATTGTGTTTTCATTATGCCATTTTGTTTTGTACCCTAGAATGGAGAACGTTCGTCAGTGTGGAGTAGCACTGTGTATCATGCTGGGTTTCTCTATCCTTACTGCCTCCATTGGAAGTGCCGTAGTGAAAGACAGAGTATCTGGCACAAAACGCTTGCAGCACATCGCAGGCCTGGGTTACAAAACTTACTGGCTTGCTAACTTCTGCTGTGATATGGTACGTATCATGTGGGGCAGCATGTGTTCAGGCGTAAATTTTTAACTAGTTTGTCATAAATGAGCAAAAGGAGATATGGTCACAAGACAGGTGAATAAGATTTGAACTGTGCAGAGCAACAGCTCTTGGCTGTCATGTTAACAAGCATTGGGACACCATTCTTACTTTAATACTGTCAGATAAAATTCTTTAAGGCAGGGATTGTGTTCTTCATTTTCCAAAGTTGAATTGTAAGGTAAAGCATATGTCAGGTTTAGTTACCTACACTATTTTACAAATAAAAGGAAGCTGGCTAATCAACCTAGACAGAGAGAATCTTCCACACAGCAGTTCATAGCAGGAGTTTCTGTGCTTTGAGTTGCCACTGACAAAAACCTCCGATTATTGGAGAAGCCTGAAGATAATAGTCAACTGCTTTAAAGGCATAATTATGTTGTCTGTTGGTAGGTAATATGAGAGATACTCATGACTGGTACCTTTTATTTCTGGTAAGATAGTAGAAAATATTATTTATGAATTCACATGCACAGAATGACCTAGATCAGAAATGGGTGAAGTCTCTGTCCTGAACATTTATTTTTCTCATACAAAGTAATTTCTACTATTGTTAGTATTACAAATAGTATTGTCTGCATGCAGTTCATTAACAAATTTGAATATCTTCTCTTCTTCTGAAAATATCACAAAAGTTATTATTTTTCCCTAAATCTTACCCTTT